ATTGATTCGCTGTATTGACTTGGAGTCTCTGAAGCGTAATCTCTGAAATATCTTTGAGTTATCTTTGTGTTTATTTTATGTTTACCTCACGTGATTTATATTGAGAATAATCCTTTGACGTTATTGTGAATCCTCACTCATGATTCCTTGAGTAATTGTTTTAGTTTTATTTATCCCTTTTGAGATTTTATTTGAAGCCACGAAACTATCGTGATAATGTATATATGAATAAAATATTATATATAATACATTCTTAAGGAGTATTTCAGAAATTTCTGTATTATGATTGTAAATTTTAGTATATTATGATAAAAATAATTTATATATGTATGATTAAAATATAGTATATATGATTTGTAATTTATATATACATACTTAAAAACTATATAATATATAAAATAGTATGTATATATAATTTTTTATATTATACATACTAATGAACTGATTAAATTTTATTTTATTTAATATATTTTTATAAAAGAGCATTTATTTAAAATATGCCTAAAGCTTTTTTTTCAAAATTAACTAACTCAAGGGCTTCAGCTTCAGCAAAAGCTTTTCTGACTGCAACTTCTTGAGCTTAAACTTAAAATTCATGTTTCTTAAAAGCTAATTTTCGTCAAAGTTAATATTTTCAACATCATTTTTTTCAACTTTATACTATTTAAAATTTTTACTTGAAAAGAGTTGTGCTTTTTTTTTATTTGTGATTTTAGTTTTTGTGTTTGTTAAATCATCTAATATTTCTTATTTTTACCATTTTGTGCTCCTAATAAATAATAAATATATTTAATGTAATTAATCCTTGACAAATAAGAAAATAGATTTACCTTTTCGAGCAATTGCTTTAGCATTTCTTATAATTTCTCAATTATCATAGCATGAATAATAAACTCTAAATTTATTTTTAGATTCTATTATTTTCAATTTTTTTTGATTAATCTAACATCTTTTATTAATATTAATATTAAATAATTCATTCATTTTTAAATAAATTAATTTAAATTAAATAATTAATAATTAAACTAATAATGCCTAATAATTGTAATCAATAATTTAAGCTACTTTTCTTCTCAATTAGCTAAAGCATGAGCAGCTTTTACTATATTAGTATTATTTATACTGCTCACCTATATTTCAGGATTCATTTTTGATGCATTTAAATTTAATAATATAAAAATATATGGCTGATGATACTAACAAGCCCATTCTAAATTTTTTAATAAAATTAGATAATAAAGCAATAAAATAAAATAATAATATATAAATAAAAATACCTTTAACTTAAGATTCTTTAGATTGAATTCTTAAAATATTTTTTCAAGTACATTATATAAAGATGCAATTGAAATATTTAAAATTAATTCAAGAATTTTAGAAGAAAATTTTTAAGAATATGTATTACTTAATTATATAAAAAGCTATTAGTAAATTTTTTTTTAATAAAAATTATTTAATTTGTAAAATATTTTATCATTTAAAATGAATAATATATAATTTAAAAATATATATCAGATGATTTACTATTCTATATCTGAATTTTTGCTATGCAAAAACGTCCTAGTTCTTTTATTTAAGCAGCATATAAATCTTCAATAATGCATCTAATACTTTCTCTATTTATATGTTTAAATTTAACAAATTGTCTTATTAAATTTATAATTTATTAAAAAGATCTGCAAAAAATTGCTGATAACCCTGTAGTAACATTAGTATAAATCTATGCATAAGATAGTACTATATATTATAAATTTTAAAAATTAAAAATATTTGTAAAATTAAATGAAAAATAAAATTTTGTAAATAAAAATAAAAAAAACTTACCAAGTTTATACTAGAATCATAAGAGTTTATTTTAAATTCATTTATATTACCTTTAACTCTCTTAAATGTTAAATCAATTTGAATAAATTTAAGCTTATGAATTAACTTAGCTTGTTCTTTAAGCATACAGATAAAAATTATAAGTTTATTTGGATAAGTATCTAAATAAAAAATAAGTTTGTTGAATACTAAATAGATATAATAAAAATGATATAATTAAAATGCTTTACTCATAGTATAGATATAATTATTAAGTTCCAATTGCTTAATTTGAATACAATGAATAACATCTAATAACTTTTGACAAAATGGATAAATATTTTTATTTTTATTAAAATTTAAAGATCATCTTTAATTTCATTTGGAGTTCTTTCAGGTGGTGGTGGCAAATGATTATGTATTCCCTTACTTATAATTAAATTACCATACAATAATGTTACTATAAATTATAAGAATTAAGAGTAAAATTCACATTACAAAACTTTTTATATATTTTTCCTCTGACAATATGACCATTAGCATCAATATGTATTTTTTCTAAAAAATTATTTTAATATAATAAAATTATTTAAATAATTAAAACATTTAAATATAATCATAAAATAATAAATTTACCATATAATTTTTGATGAGAACTTCAGGAATCAATTGTTGTGCAATATTTTAATGATTCTTGCTCATTCTATTATAAAAATCAATCATTAGATTAGCTCTAAAAATACCTTTAAATATTAAATATAAATTATATTAAACTTACTACTATAGCATTACCACTAAGTAATTCCTTAATAAAGAAATATCATAAGTTGTAGGATCTACTTTTATATATCGATGATATTTATCATTAAATTAATATTTATTACAACTAATAACATAATTAGAAATGGACGTTTGATAATTTTTAACATAAATTAATTTAGGTTTACCAGAACATGGAACTCCATTTTGATGAAATTGGCATTTAGATTCTATGCTTCCAAGATAAAAAAATTTATAATAAATTAGTTAAAGTATTTTAAATAATTATCAACTAAAAATACAATTTTATAATCTATAATTACGCATAGGTCTTTGTTTTTTTGTTTCAGCTTGATCATTATTACTAATTTCTTGCCAGTATTCAGAATCAAAATCAACTTCCTTATGACTTAGATTAAGTAGTTTTGGATTAACATATTCATACATGAACGATTTTCTTTTTTGACTCTAATATTGCCAAAGAATGGACTACTTTGAATTGAGCTTTGGCCTCCTCCTCCTTAAGAATATTGAATCTAAAATATTATTTATTCATCAATAAAAAGAAATAATAATATATTAAAATTAGCATATAAATATTAGTTAAATTATGATTACGATAAAATTTAAATAAACTTCGCACATTTTTCCAGCAGTCTTTGGATTTTTCTAACCTATGATATTATATGCTGTTGCTACACCCAGTTCAGATGTTTTAGGATATTCAATTGGCACAGTTGAGTAATGAACTTCTTTTATCTGAGTTTTTTCGAAAAGATAGTGATGTAATCTTCCATTTCACTTAAATCATTACTATCATCACTTTCAACGGTATTGCTATCACTATAAATCTGGTAAACTTTTAATATCAAAATTAACTTATTAAAAGATTAACCTTTATTAAAAAATTTTTTTAGCTTACATTTATATCTAAACTAGGCTCAAAAAGAGCAGCAACTATTTCGTCAATATCTTAAAGTTCGCTCATTTTTATTTGCTTTGATTATTTTTTCTGTAGAATAAATTTATTTTTAAGAAATTATAAAGAATAAAAAATTTAAAAGATTTAAAGAATTTCAAATTTACGTGTCTGCAATATTATATTTTTCGCGTCTATAATATATACATGTCATCATACTATATTACGTTAGTGGTACAATAAAATGTCAATTGCGATAGTATAGTAATCATGCTGATCATATACTATACTACTTTACTATATAACCATTCTTAAGCATATACCATACATTTGTCACCATACATACATCGGTCACCATACCATACTTGTTTTCTATACGATCCAATTTATGTATGATTTTTCCATACTAGTATGATTATTCGTCGCAAAACAATACCGGTATGGAATTTTCTATTTTCAATCCATACCGGTATTGAATATTTATATATTAGATACAATTTCAATATCTTAAAAAATGATCGGATTTGATTTGAACAGAATGCCAATAATTAAAAACACAAAGAAAAATAATAAGTCGCGTTGGTAGTTGTTTTGTTGTTTTGTTTAATTCATTATATTATAATGAGTAAATCAGGTGTTAAGTTTAAGAAAATTTATAAAGATTAATTAAAAATTTTGCATTTATCAAATTGAAGAATTTAATTAATCAAATTAAACTTTATTATTAATTACCGAAATTTTAGAAAATCCATACTTGTATGGAAATATTTGTCATACAAACCATACATTCTAAAGTGATACAAAAAGGAGTAGAGTCAGTAGAGTATATCACGTGTTATGTTGAGTATATTTTTTTATATTCAACTGCCCTAACCTAACCCTAATCTAACCCTAACCTACCAGCATTAAAGATAACTCCTAACAATTCAGTATGACAAAAACTATACTCAACATCATAACACATGATACTCTACTAATCACCTCCACCCGACTCTACTCTTTTTCGTAATACCTTACATTCCATACATTCCATACATAAAAATCCATACCATACATGATTGCATGGAAAATTGGTACAGTACGATTTTCCAGACCAGTACGGTACAATTTTGCAGAGGAGTATTTTTTCGTGAAATTTGAATTGTACCGTACTGTACTGGTAGTATATATAAAGCTTTATTATAGAACCAGTACGGTATGGTACGATTCTCTTGACCGATACGGTATGATGTTGCAGATCAGTATTATTATGGCCAGTACAGCAGTACGGACTAATTCTATAAATTCGTACTGTTAGTATATATAACAATGCTTTTCTTTTATTAAATTAATTTTTGACAAATATACCGTTGAATTAAAAAATTACTCAGAAATTTAAAAATTCTGGGTAATGATACAGATCGTACTGCAGTACGAATTCAAATGAATTCTCTAAAATTCGTACCGTACCGTACTAGTCAGCTCTATATATACGATATGATTCAAATTTTGCGAAAAATACTGATCTGCATAATCATACCGTCTTGGTCTGGCAAATCGCACTGTATCAGATTTCTATCTACCCTGTACGGAGTATGATATTAGATATTGCTTAGATAATTATGCGCGTAAATAGTTTCAGATTTAATTTCAGATTATTTGATGTTTTTCAATTTGTTGTCCGATACAACTTATGGCTTGAACCGCAAAACTGAACTCATTTAAAGGTAATTTCTGCGGTTAAATAATAAATAAATGTAATTTTTAGGTTACTTCTAATCGGAGTTGCTAGATCTGGAAAATTTTATTTAACTTCTTTGGCAAAATTATTAGATCCAATGAGCATGTGTTTTCATTCGAGATTTACATCATTGAAATCAAATCTACATATACATTATAAACAGTCGAGAGATATAGTTATCAAAAAAAGTTAATGTTTAATTTATTGCACAACGAAATTCATTTTATTTTTCTGGTTTGCACACAAAAATTATAGCAAGATAATTAGATTCTCTACTCATTGAGGCATCCAAATATTTCTGATATGAAAAATATATTAAATTTGAATAATTTCAAATTTAAAAATCTAACTGTTAATCACTAAGACAATTACAATTATTATGATTAACAGGTTAATTTATTTCACCACAATGCCAACAAAAACACTTAAATTACTAACTATTTGTTAAAGAAGCAGGCTTAAGTATTATAAAATAAGCATTAAGAACTTTTGTAAATATAATTTATTCAATTTAAATCTTTAAAATTCAGTATGGGTTGAATAACTGATAAATGAATTAAATAAAGCGAATCTATAAAAGTTAAAAAAAAATAATAAAAAAAATTTTTAAAATTCAAAACAAATACGAAAAAGAAAAGAAAATTATTGATGCAGGGAATCGCAGAAAATATCTCTAAACGATAAGGGGATTAGCCACCTCAAAGATATGAATTAAGCTAATATTGAAAGAAATAAAATCTGGCAAAATATAAATTTATTAGAATATGTGAATGATTTTACAAACAAAATATAAACTAAAAACTACCAGTCCTTGGGGTATAAAACCAGTCTCCTTGTTCGCTTTCAGGCTCAATTTAATAACGAGTGCTTGTCAAAAAGAATACATGATGCAGCTAATTACACATTCTTTTTAGGAGCCGTTAAATAAGACCACTCTTAGTCATTTAAACTTACAAATTGAAGCTTCATTTATTACGACAGATATAAAATTTGTAAGCCTTTACACAATACAAATGTATGCGGGAAATTTCACTTAACGATAATGGGATTATATGTCCATCGGATTGATCCTGTTATATATGATGAGTAAACAAATAATATAAAATCTATGAATTCCGTTAGAAAGAATAAAAAAAATAGACGAAAAATACATTTAATAAATAAACCAAATTTATAAAAAATACTTCTGTTAGATAACTCCAATTGAACGTATTGTTAGTTTCAACAATATTAATTTGAATTTGAGCTATTAACAAAGTTGATAAGAGAAGTTTTAGTATATTAAACAGTGACAATTGACAGACTCTGTATTTACTTCATTTAAAAATATACTAAACAACCAGGAATCCTTAAGACATACTCAGTCATCTTCCTTCAGATGAAATTAAATACTAACTTACCATTACGAATTTTCATCGCCTTCATTTTGTCTGTAAACTTTATTTTTATTTTTTTTTAATAGCGAAGTTTTCATTTTTTAGATCTATATTTAAAACATTTTGAAGGTAAAAATCGGAGAGATATTAAATTTTATGGACGCGTATATGGGAGGCGGTCAATAGAAAAGGGGGAAATCTACAAATTTTGAGTAATTTTAGTTATTAAGCTAGTTTTGTTCACATGACCATGATCAGCAGAGTGAGCCAATAAAAAAATTTTTGACTAAAAAGTGGATTTCCCCCTTTTCTACTGACCGCCCCCCATATTTGCTTAAATATAAAATCAGATGTTGAAATATATCACGTCCAGAATGTGTGATAGGTTAAGTCACGTCAGTGACAAATAACTGTGTGACAAGTATGCTAACACCTAAAAATCGAACTAAGTTTCTCGTGACAAATGTGATATTAAACAACATCCTAGCGTCACCCGTAAAAATGGTAGTCAGATTTATTTATTGGGTCACTTATACATATTAGGAGTAACATATAATTGAGATAATTAGCAGTTTTCTTGCAAAAATTTTTTCTGTCCCCAGAATAACTTAGTAAATGAAAAACGGCCGTTATGTAATAATACTACCAATCCTAATCCAATCCTAATCCTCAAATTATAAATACCCAACAAAACAAATCCGGCTACCATTTGTTACGAGCGACGCTGAGTAAGTCGACATTAAACAAATAATATCTATGGTTCAGATATTTTGGTCACGTGATTTATTTGGCTTATAATTATATAACTTAGTAATAAAAGAAAGCATTTTGATTGATATTGCATCAACGGAAAATATTTTAATTTATTATTATATATTATATATTATTTTATTTTTAAAAATAATTCTAATAATAACCAGTTAAACGAGATTTTTATATTTATTTCAGTATAAAAATAAAAAGAGCAAAAGTAATTGAATATTATATGTATTGTTTGTAAAGAATTCTCATTAATATTCAATATTTGTACCGGCACTGCTTGTAAGAAAAAAAAAATTAATAAAAAAAAGGAAAAATGGAATAATAAAATTTTATTAGATTTTTCGATTTATTCGCTTAAATAAAATGACTGAAATTTTCTTAGGTCGAACAGATTTTCATAAGAAGACAGATTCAGAGGACAGAGAATAATTTAATTATCATATATAGATAACAAATATGAAAAACTGTATTAAAAGAATTTAAATAAAAATAGTTTTTTTAATATAAGGATGGGGGATATCTAATAGGACTCAGGTTGCGCGAGCACCCACTCATTATGCAGTTAAAGGGAAGATGCATAGCATTTCCTTCGCCAGAAATCGCAGACCCTTACAGTTGTACCGGCCCTGGGAACTTAGAAAATTTTATAGACTATGATATCGCAAGTATGAGATCGATTAAAGAAATTCACAGCATGTCACTTTCTAATTTTAGTCTATCTCGTTAAGTTTATGTAACTTAATTATAGTTAATTTATACCAGATAATACCACTATAAAAAGAAAAACATATCGTTCAATATTATTTTTTTAAATTCGCAATAAATGGTTAAACGTAGAGCCGCTTCAAAAAGATACAAAGATTTATTACGAAGAGAAATTTATAAGATAATAAAACAAGAAAGAGAAATAGTGAGAAAATGTTCTGACGGTAAGTTCCAATACAGATTTAGATGTATGGTTCCAGAGCGTGTACGATGTGGAAAATCTCTCGTCCGTTGTCCATAGATACCTCGCTTGCTTAGTTTTCTCAATCCCGTTTACGACCTTTCCTTTAATCTACCGGACTCTTTCACTAATTCTTGAAAAGATTTTAATATAGGAGAAAAAAAAATAAATGAAAATAATCCAAATAAGATTGTTGATAATCGTTTAGTAATTTAATTTATTTTTATCTTTTTATATAAAAAAAAATATTTTTATTATAATCATTTATATTGAGAAAAATCGGTCCTCATATATATAAAATGAAAAGCTTATTTCATAAGGACTTGAACAAAAGGTTGTCTGTTATCCGTTATAAATATTTATTTAAATAATAACCTTTTACCTCTTCTCACATATAGAACAGACGAAATGTTGCAATTTTTTTTTAAAAATATAATTTCCTTTGTATGTGAATAAATAAAAAAATTTAAACAGTGAATTATATGGTTTTCTGAAAATTTAATAAATAAAAATCTATTTGACAATTTCAGTTGAAGTGTAATTTTAATTCCGACTTGGTTGACTAAAAAGAGTATACTAGAAAGACTCAAACGACTGACTAATTGACACCAAAAATTGCTGAGACTGGCGCCCTACTAAATATATAAATCTTAATATTTTGATATTATATAGAATGTAATGTTTAAGATTATTTACCAATCTCAGATCCTGAAATCTCTAACACCATTTAGCAAAATATGTATCTATCCAGCCAGAAGACTTAGCATATATGATCTCTTGAAATTTACAATTAATCTTAAATTCCACAGTTGTTCCAATCTTTCTGCAATATATTAAAAGTAATTAATCAAACAGTCATTGTTATTATCTTTTTTTTAAGAAATTTAACACTTACTCTGAATTTGCTTAATCCAAGAATTAAAGACTTCCGATATAAACACAAAGATAATTATTTAATTATCTTTAATTTAAAAAAATAAAAAAAAATTCATTCTATAGGAATCACCTCTTATTCAAGGGCTTTTAATATTTTAGTTATTTTCAATTTTAAAAATATGACTAGCAATACCTCTATAGGAACTTGCCTCGGATCTACAAAAAGGTAAGCATTTGATTAATTATCTTAATATACTTTATATATATTTTTTTTAAAAAAATATTAATAATATAGGAAGAACTTATCCCGATCCAAGAATTAAAAGTAAACATTAAAGTTTATCATCATCAATTTAAAAATCATAAGATTTATTCCCTCATAAGAACTTGTATCCAAGTGATAGATGATCTCCAAATCTACAAAAAGTAAGGAATTGAAGACCTCCGGAACTTGCAAAAAGGTAAGCATTTGTTAGTTTTTTTCTATTTCAAATAAATAAAGCTCTGTTCTAATATTTTAATTAATGTAAAATTACTTCCTATTAGTCTACGAAGTTCTTTATCTCGCTTATTTGGGCTGGGTTTTTCTTTAGCGGTCGTCTTTATTCTTTGTTGACTACATAAAGGAGTTAACATTATTATTAAAATATGTCTGGTTCGTCCATACATCATAGATATTATTAACAAAATCGGATGTACGTAAAATATGTATCATGCAAAACATGATTATACAACTTTCTGCCGGTGAAAAAAAATTTGATTATATGAATAAAATTCATTAATATCTTGAAACAAGCATTTTTAGCGTTAAGGTTTCACCATGAATACTATGAATGCTTCCAACTTCACCTGAATAACTTACTTAATAGTTGTGTTTTTTCTGGTATATTCCGTTTTATATCCACTAGCAATTTTGCAATACACTATAATTATTGAATGAAATATTTTT